GCGAAGGCAGAGGAGGAGGAAGAGGCCGCCAACGCAGCTGGGGCACCGCCAGCACCTCACAAGGCAGGGTTAGCATGGCCGAAATGTGGAAAAGCTTTGTCAGCACACCACAGCAACCAGCACCACCAGCTGATATGGAACGTCTTAGCAGGAGGCAGCATTTCAGCAACATGGTGGTACAATACGTGTGCACACACCTACACGTACTGACTTATGGGTCTGCCCCATTCAGCTTCTGGGTCTCCAAATTGGGCACATGGCCTGAGCTTGCCCTTTATGCCTTGGAGGTGCTGGCCTGCCCTGCAGCCAGTGTATTGTCTGAACATGTGTTTAGCACAGCAGGGGGCATTATCACAGACAAGCGCAGCCGTCTGTCCACAGCCAACGTGGACAAGCTCACGTTTATTAAAATGAACCAGGCATGGATCCCACCAGACTTGTCTGTACCTTGTGCAGAATAGACATTTATACCGGCCTCACCCAGCCATTGTTATACTCAAGTGCCCGTATTCTTTGTTTTCTTTTTTTGTATGTCCCAATATTTTGGGGGCTACCCCCAATTAAAAAAATAAATAAATAAATAAAAACCAGTGTTGGCTATCTCCTCCACCGCCGCTTCCACCTATACCGCCACGGTCACCGCCTCCTGAACCTCCTACTCCACATCCACCTTCTCCTCCTAGAGCAGGGTGCAAAAGCAGAGCAACCATCCCCTAGACAGTAATTCCTGGTCTTTGAAATGCTGTCATTCCATCTGGTGGAGAAGGACAGTTTTAAAAACTATTTTGGTGGCCACCCCAATTAAAAAAAAAAAAACAGTGTTGGCTACCTCCTCCTCCTCCATGCCGCTTCCACCTACACCGCCAAGGTCACCGCCTCCTCAACCTATGGGTCACTTAGTATAAACTATGTACACAATAGCAGAGGCTTGTGAAGGCCTTTTCTCCATACATCAGGAGTTGAGCTCAGTTTGAACAATGAAAGAGAATACCCTGCACTCCAACCCTCTCTCAAATGTATAATTCTGGTGATCCTCCTGACAGCCATGCTTTAGATTTTGATTTATGTTCTTCCAAAGCTAAAATCAAAGATTCCATCTAGTGCTATTTTATGGCTCAGCTGTATTTTTAATTTTTATATTATTTTAAGTGATTTCCCTATCCACATTTTTTTGCAAGGCACTTGTCCTACTCTTACCCCCATTTTACTTCCTTTTGCAGCCCACTAGCCCTTTCCAGGACTTTTTTAGAGGCATTTTAGTGCCCAAAAGTTCGGGTCCCCATTGACTTCAATGGGGTTCGGGTTCGGAGTCAAGTTCGGGTCAAGTTCGAGCCCGAACTCAAACTTTTTGATGAAGTCCGGCCGAACTCGGCGAACCCGAACATCCAGGTGTCCACTCAACTCTAGTCATCATCCCAGAAATAGAGCCATATTGCTCTCCTAGCTGCTACAGATAAAGCCATTTGTTTGAGAGAATATTCTAGTTACATCTAGGGAAGCTTCTGTGAAGAAGTTAGTTGTCCCATGAAGATTCCAGACCGCCTTTTGAATATTGGCTTTAATTTCTCTCCACATCAGCATTTAGATCTTTAATCACACTTTTCATTGCTCTAGAGACAGCAGTGAAAGCTACAGCTGGATGACATCCTGCACCAGCAGGGGTATAAATTTGGACAGGTCTGCATCCAATTTTTGATCCATAGGATTGCGTAAAAAGCCGAGTTGTCAAGTGGTACCATCGTCCCACGATCTACCCTGGAAATAGTCTAATTTGTGGAAGTAACTTTGCCCACAGGGTAAAGTTTAGCCTCTGTTTCTTACCTCTAAGGCAAGTATGTCAAACTCAAAGGCTAGCACGGGCGAAATAAACAAGGTTTATGTTTCTGTGGGCCGCAAAAAAAACAACTTAAATTTTCATAGAAATGTAGGTTTATTTTGATTTTGGTACAGTATAAAAAAAAACAGCATCCCCCTCTACTAAACCCCAGCCCTCCCTCTACAGCCCCCTCTCTACTAAATTCAAGCCCCCCTCTACTAAATCCCAGCCCCTCTCTACTAAATCCCAGCCCCATCATTCAATACAATAGACATCAGCTCTAGAGAGTCCGCATCTGACACAGAAGCAAAAGAGGACAATAAACAAGCAACTCTGTGTCTATTTTAGAACACAGCCAACATTCAAATGATCCACCAGTGGCATCCAGAATAACCACAAGAGATTTAAGAAGAAAAAAGTCCTGCGCAGATGACATAAGGGCTTCAAAAAGTACCGAAATCGCCAGAAGGAGGATGACACCTATTTTGAATCTCTCTGGCAAAATTCCAACGACTGCACATTTCTTAGTACTAAACAAAGGACTTACATATGTCCCAGTAATGAAATCTGATCCATTTCAGATTGACATTGAAATGTACAAACTACACAGAACACTATGTCTCAATGAACAAAAGAAAGATTGGACACCAGTACTTCACAATTGCTTTCTGTCACATGAACAATTTGATATTAAAACAACGAATCAAGCCATTATGTCGTTCTCTCAGTCATTGCAAAAGGAAGCTGGTAACGTAGCCAAGAATCCCCCTGAACATCGTGCCAATTTAACCAAGGGAGAAAAAGCAGCATTGATGGACCTAATTCCAGATCAACGCCCAGGCCATTTGGAGAAACCCCAGAAGAACCATGGAAGTAAGGGACTCTGGGGAATTATGCACAATCAGAGAAGATATGTGTGACGAAAGCAACTTCGCCACTGGTTTTTGGAGGGGCCTGTTTGCCTGCCTCCTACCTGGGACTATGGGCCCTGTGATAACCCATGTTCAAAAGTACTGTTTCTGCCCCTTGGACTTTTAACTGAAACAGATTCAAACATGTGGCGGCGGCCATGCTAAATTGTCCAGCAGTGTTTTGTCGTCCGGTATATGGAATTGTTTTGGGCATGGGACCATGTGCACGGAGGGGCAAAAATAAGACTTCAAGGAAATTCCTGAACCCCTGGACCGATCTGGGTGATTTTTGGAAATGTTGTTCACCCATATCGGGGCTATCAGGGGATGTGTGGGGATATGTTGTATTTTGGGGTACTTTGGGGTACTTTTTGGGGTCGGTAAAAATTTATGTTTTTTCTGCTTAGAGTTAATTGAGTTAGTCCATTGTCTTTGTTAATTGTATCACAGGCAGAGGGGAGGGATTGTATGGGAGTGTCTGAATGTAAATCCTATGTTTTTATTGCTTGTTATGTTTTGAATTCGGTGCCCAACTAGGTCAACCTTGTGATTGGAGGGGAACTGCTATAATCACACTAGGGATTGCTATACTTTGTATACTCCCCTGGGCTCTAATCACTAAGCTCTTTTAAGAGTTGTTCCTGATACGCTCTCCTGGAGGAGAGGTCTTTCCCACACAGTCGTGGATGTCGGAGGTTTTTACAGGGTGGAAGGAAGACGGCGAGACTCCAGTATAGCTATGGCGGTTGTGGAGTCTGCGGTGGTTGTGGTGTTTGGTGCAGTACTTATGGTCCTCGGTGTCAGATAGGAAGCATCCATCAACGGAGGTACCCAGTCAGGGTGCCAGGTGATCCCTTACAATATGGTAATAGGCATCAGAAACATTCAATTTCCTTGCCTGAAGCATATTTGAAATTACAGCATCTGAGAACCCCTTCTCCTTCAATTACTTCCTATAAGTCTCGATGTTATCAGCTGGAGCAGCATTTGTGGAGCAGGATGAAATAGCAGGTCGTTTCTCTTTCTGGCAGATTAATTGGGTTCTCCTTGGAAAGGCTCAACAACAGTGGGGACCAGGGTTTTTGTGGCCAATACAGAAGAACTGTTATCACCTCCACTCATTTCTTCTGAATCCTCCACAGAAGGTTGAAGATAAGGGGCATCTGGAGAAACATATACCTCTTTCAGAAATTCCACAGGGCATCTCTCACTTCCATTAGGGGATGACACGCCATGGAGAAGAGCTTCTGAACCTGTCTGTTCTTGAAGTTGGCCATCATGCCAACTTCCAGAGTACCCCATTTGTGAACTAACATCTAAAAGGCCCATTTTGCTAGACACCAAGATGTTTGCTCAGGGAATCCGCCTTGATGTTCACAGAACCTGGAAAATATATTATATCACCAGTTCCAGGTAGTTGGAAGATGCTCCTAGGAGGGATACAGAATAATTTCTCTGAATGTATATTTAGTTCAGGTGGGCTCCCCATCCTGTTTGGCATGCATCTGTAATGACAATTGTCCAAGAGATATCTCCCATGGGAAAAGCTTTGGACGGATCTTTCAGGAATCTGAATATGCCATTGAGCCCATTGGGTTAGACCTATAGTGGATGAAAGGGAACACTGGAAACTCGTGTCGCATCTGGTTGTGATCTTGTAAAGATGAAGCGTTCTCTTTAACTTCTCTCTCAAACATTACCTTCTGTCTTCTGATAGACAGACCAACCCTCGATTTGTGTGTATGTAGAAACATAGAAGGTGACAGCATATAAGAACTATTCAGCTCATCTAGTCTGCTCAATTTTCAAAATACTTCAATTAGTCCCTGACCTAATAGCCTTATGCCTATCCTACGCATGCTTAAACTCCCTCACTGTGTTAACCTCTACCACTTCAGCTAGAAGGCTATTCCATGCATCCACTACCTGTAAAGACTAGGTCCTCTTTTTGTGGTAGTTTTTCTTCTTTAAAATATAGTCTCCTCCTTTACTGTGTTGATTCCCTTTACGTATTTAAATGTTTCTATGATACCACACCCCCCCTCCCGTCTCGTCTTTCCTCCAAGCTATACATGTTAAGATCCTTTAACCTTTCCTGGTACGTTTTATCCTGCAATCCATGAACCATTTTAGTAGCCTTTCTCCGAACTTTTTCCGCAGTATTAATATCCTTCTGAAGATACGGTCTCCAGTACTGTGTACAATACTCCAAATGAGGTCTCACCAGTGTTCTGTACAATGGCATGAGTACTTCTCTCTTTCTACTGCTAATACCTCTCCCTATACAACTAAGCATTCTGCTAGCAAGTCATGCTGCTCTATTACATTGTCTGCCTACCTTTAAGCAATCTGAAATAATTACTCCTAAATCCCTTTCCTCAGATGTTGAGGTTAGTAGAGTATCAAATAGTCGATACCCAGCCCTTGGGTTTTTATGCCCAATATGCATTATATTGCACTTATCCACATTAAATATCAGTTGCCACAGCTCTGACCAATTTTCTAATTTACCTAAATCATTTGCCATTTGGCTTATCCCTCCTGGAATATCAACTCTGTTGCAAATTTTAGTATCATCAGCAAAAAGACATACCTTACCATCAAGACCTTCTGCAATATCACTAATAAAAATAGAGAAAAGGTCCAAGTACAGATCCCTGAGGTACCCCACTGAAGTAAACCCATGTATATATTATCTTCGTTTGTGTATGTGTTATCTGTGTGTGTGTTATTTGTGTTTTATCTGTGTGTGTTATCTGTGTACATATTTTACTGTGTGTATAAATGTTGTGTGTATCTGTGTGTCAGAGGGTGCAGAGAGGGTGGCTAAAATATGTAATATGATCTTTGAGTGTATGTTTGTGTGCGTGTATTGTGTGTGTGTGTGTGTGTGTTTGTGTGAGTTATCTGTGTGTGTTTTTGTCTTAACTGTGTGAATGTGTTATCTGTGTATATATGTGGTGTGTGTTTGTGTGTGTGTGTGTGTGTGTGTATCTTATGTTTTTCTTTGTATCACTGTGTGCCCCTGGTATGTGTGTGTTTGTGCATCTGAATGTGTGTAAGTATTTGTATCTGTATGAGTGCCATTGTATGTATCTATGTGTCTGTGAATCTGCATGTGTGTCATCGTGTGTGGCTTATATCTGCATGTGTGTGAGTGTGTGTCTGTGTATCTGTATGTGTGCCAGTGTGTGTATCTGCAGGTGTTTGTGTGTGTGTGCGTATCTGTGTGTCTGTGTTTCCGGATGTGTCGGTGTGTGTCTGTATAAGTATGTGTGCATGTGTATCAGTGTGTGTGCCTGTGTATGTGTATGTGTATACATCTCAGAATTCAAACTTCAACACTACACACAAATTCAACACTACATTCAAAGGCAAACACTACACACACGTAAACCACTGCTTTCAAATGGCAACAGTACATAAAAACAGTACATAAAAACAGAAGTACAACCCTACATTCACACACACATCCTCCATACTGAGGCTCTTAACAGAGCGCTCGGGCGGCTGCAGTATTTAAAGGGCCGGCCCGTCGCGGCCGGCCTTACAGGAATTTAGGGCGGCCGGGGGGGCAATTGCCTCCCTGCCCCCCGGCCCAGCCCGCCCCTGGATAGGAGGGTTCAAAAAAAGGTTTGTACCAGGAACTCTATGAGTGGACTGACTGGCTCTTAAATGACTGTGCTCCATGTCTGTACTGCCTGGAGTCTCCTGTTGCTCTTCCCACATGGCAACAAGTCTTTACTGCCTTCTGCAACCTTTTTGATGCACTCATCCAGCTGATGTCAGAACAGCATGTCACCCTGAAAAGGTAATGAATGGAGACTGTTCTGCAGTGTGCCTTAAGCCAGAATACTCTACAGGCCTTTAGCCAAAGTGCTCTATAGCCAACCACATTCAGAGCCATGGAACATATTAGATCAACAGAGGCATAAAAACAAAAGTCTGCAGCTAGACTAATGTCTCCCATTTAATCTACTTACTTCATCCTTGATATCTGCTTACAGATCCTCCACCCATTGTTTAAGGGCCCTGGAAAATAAGTTAAGGCAGCTGCTGGGTGCAGACTAGCTCCTGCTGCTATGTAGGCCTTGAACATATTTATGTCAATTCTCTTCTCCATAGGTTCCCTTAAAGAGCAAGAGTCATGCAGAGGCAATGTAGCCATCTTGGCCAGAAAAATCACCTCTGCCAAGCACTATAGGAGCTCCTCAGATGTCAGACGTCTGGAACTTATTTCCTTTAGCATGATTATGGTACCCATAAGGATTTATCTGACATTGCAAGGTTCCTTGTTGCTACCCATCGATCACTGGAGGATGCACTCCTGGTAACTAAGGGGGTTCTGCAAGGGGTTGGCCTGTAGCTTCTGGGATAAGAGAATCTGAACTAATCCCAGGATAAGTAACTAACAAGTCTCAGATATGCCTAAAATAAAAAATGTGATTAAATGAAATAGCCCAAAGAGAAAGTCCAAGTAAGTGTGCACAGGAAAAGAACTGGGGTTTGATGTTTCATGTGGCCTTTATAGGCTAAATTTCTGTCCTGTCCAGTGGGAGTGATGAGCTGAGCTAACTCTAGAGTAGTGCTACCATGGCCATGGCAAGAAAATATATTTATTAATAATCTTAATGTAATGTAGGAGAATACTGAGAATTGTTTTCTGTATTTACAGTTAGGGCAGCATTGGGACATGCATACCATGGTATTACCTTATTAGTTGGAATTACAGTTCCAGGAAAGAATGGATCTAAAATGGTGGTCATTGGTCATTACTTTAACTCCTACTATGCTTGGGCAAACTCTGAAAAAATGTGATTTTATTTTGGTAAATTTAGATGTGTTCTTCAGAAATTATATTTCATGTTATTTTTGGTTTTTGAATGGTGTAAAAATAACCGTTAGTCCAGTGCATTAGTTATTAAAATATGATTTCTTATTAAGTCAATAAGTGCTTCTCAAAAAATGAAAAGTCCATATCTTTCAGAGAATATTGAATATATATTTTTGTAGAGTAACTATTAAAATAAACATACTTTCTGTGGCTATTAAAATGAATGTATGCAAAGATTGCGGATGCTACTGATGAGATACTAGCTAAAGGGCATGCTGCTTTCTTAAGCTCAGAAGTTATCCTATTGCGTACTGTCAGAATAAAAAAAGCATTTAAATATAAATCTGCTAAATGTCACTTGAGAAAACCTATTACTTATCCTTTTGTAAAGTTAAGGCTTGATAAAGTTTTAACATTTAAAGGAATGCATCTCCTAAAAGTTAAATTGTTCTCATACATTTAAGTATCTTGTGCACTCCTATAAATGTATTTGCAGGATCTTTTGTGGGTCTACTCATTGAATACTAAGTTTACAAATCACTTTTAAAATTTAGATTTGGAAAAGTTGAGAAGCTATCCAGTACAACTTTGCATTTTTAGATTTAGATCTTTTAACAAATCAGTTATTTTGGTGTAAATTTGCAAACTGTCAACTCCACACAATTCACTGTTTAGCAAATAACACCAAACTTTTTTTTTGTTGCCTGTTTAGTCTGGAAAATAATAGATAAGGACATAATTCCTGCCAATCACGTATATCGGCAGTTTATCGGCTGCTAATTGGCCTTTTAACAGTTTGGATTGATTACATTCCTACTGTTAAAAGCTTATTAGAAGCCAATAAATATAAGTTTGAATAGCAATACCTAAGCCAATTTATTTTTCAGACCTTTTTATAAGGTTGAAACTTTGCTCACCTGTCATGGATTTCTCATAAATTTGGAACGCTAATAAACTACTGAAATATATACTGCATCATATTTCACCTGTGCAAGAAAAAAACTTCAACTAAACAATGAATTGTCAGCAGGCCCTAGCTGGCCATCGGGCAAACCAGCAACTATTAGAAGATCTACCCTCTTTCCAAGTGCCAACCTTGCTGTGACCTCCCTCAGTGGCCCACTGGCACTTCATTTCAGGAGCAGAGAAGAGATAGAAAAAGAACCCAGAGGCTCTAACCTGCAGCTCCTCCGGGTTCTGAGTGTTCCTCACACAAGCTCGGTTGCAGCGGTTAACACTGTAATGCTCCAACAGCATAGTGCCAAATTTCGCAAGGGTGAATTATTGCCAAAAGAGTTTCAGATTTATTTTATTTTGTATTAAATAAATGTTATTATATATATAAATAAATAACCCATCTGCCTGCCCCCACACACTCAATCTAGGCCTATACCTCTTAACATATTCACACACACTGCACCCCTCACACACATTGAATTGAAGACATACTCACTCTGAATCCTCTAAACACACTCTAGATCCCTTATACAAACTCTGGATCCTCTACACACCCTATAGATCCCCTATAGACGCACACTGCATCACCTATACAAACACTACATTCATGATATATACACTCTGGATCCCCTACTCATACATACACACTATATTCCCTAAAAACACATTCTGTAGCCCCTACACATACTATATCACCTATACACACATACACTACAGCTCCTATGCGCACACTGGCTACATCCCCTATACCAGGACTGTTTTGAACTACAACTCCCACGATCCCCTGGCTATCAGCCATGATTCCCTGGCTATCTGTTTCATTAAAAAAAACAAAAAACATGGGCGTTGGCTATCTGTTTCATTAAATGAATCATGGGCATTGATATGCTTCAACCTCTAGATTTGTAAAAAAAAAAAAAAAAAAATAAAAAGAAATTTTTTTTTAAATATTTGATTAAAAAAAAATTAGTTCAAAAATATTGGCAATTTGTAAATATACCCTTTTTCAGATTATCAAAGTCTGCTGTGTGTTGTATTGTTGTATTTTTTGTTTTTTAATTGTGTTTTTGTTTTCCTGAATTGGAAATAAGATTGATATGAAAGGGCAAAAGGGTATAAACTCCTCTAAATGAAAAGAAAAAGAATAAGAATAATTATAAAAGAATAATTATAAACTCAAAGAATGAAACTGTATTTTCACATTACAATTGTTACCGCAATGGGACATTTTGAAGAGAAAAAAGACTGGGCATGATATATTCTGCACACACTGATACACTGTTCTTTGTTAGATTTTTTTTCTCACTTCTCATAGCATATCATTTATTAATTTAACTATTTTATTTATAAGGGTATAATTCCTACCATTTTAATATTCCATTGTGATCAAAATCTTCTTTATTTTATTTAAATGTAATTCTATTATTCTCTTTAATTGCCTCCTACTGGGTGAGTCACACACTTTTCACAAATTTCATGATCTCTCTTTTTTTTTCAAATATAATACACTTCTTAGTCATTGACTAAATAATGTTCTAGTTTATTTTTTTGCTTTCTTTTACTTCCAAAAAATAAAGTTCTGCTAAATGTTAAATTTATTGGAAACTTGGGTAAACTCTAATTATTGACTAAGGAACAGTGCACACACACACAAAACTAGAGGGCTTAACACAATATGGCCATATGGTTTAACTGATTATTGGA